ATACACACACACACACACACACACACACACACACACACACACACACACACACACATCCCTCCTTTTGGGTCCTTCATGGTTTGATGCCTCAGTCAAAACCAGAGAACAAATGAATAGTGCGAATAGGATTGTGGAGGGTGGGAAGACTTTATTGGATACAGTAAAACAGACCAGGATAAGATGGAAGAGAGGCAAAAGAAAGAGGAAAGGAGAAGGACGACGATGATTAGGAGGAGGAGGACAATAGGAAGAAGACAAGATGGAGAAGGAGAAGAAGTGGCGGTGGAAGAGGTCCAGGAAGAGATAGAGGAGGAAAAGGAGAAGGAAAATGGGGAGGACGAGGTAATGGAGAAGGAAGGGAGAAGGTACAGATGGAAAAAAAGAAAGCCAAAGGTGGAGGATGATGATGAAGAGGAGGAAGAGAGGGGAGGAGAAAGAGGAGGAGGGAAGAGTGGCGGAGTGCAAGAATGAGTAGTAGCAAGTAAGAGGGGACACGTAAAAGAGTAGGAGGAAGACCCACAGGAGGAATCTAACGATGAGGATCGAGTGCATCGATATATGTCGTTGAAGGGAAACTGGTCTTTGAGGGCAATACGTTTTTTGTCGTGTTTTCTTGTTATTAATTTGGGGTTTTTTGGTGGTTCAACGTGCATTCCAAAAGAAGTGAAGATGCAAGAACAGAACTTGAAGAGCCGAAGCCAACGGTTCGAATCATGTAAAGTGTCTATTGTTTCCATGGGAATGATGGTTAAATGTCTACTCGTCAGTAGATAAATGTAAAAGTGTGAACCCGAAACTCTGTACTATTCATCTCGCTAAAAAAGAGCTCAGAAAACCAGACAAAGTACTAAACCTGAATTATTTTTGTCTTTGACCCTGGTAAAATCATCCGATCTTATATGAAGTTGAGAAGCTGAGAAGGGGTTGGGAAGCGGAAAGGGGGGAGGGGTGGGTAAGAAATATCTTGACTCGGTGAAAGATCTTAAGAATCAATACTTGCCTGTACTGTGTCAGTATACGCACCGGGAGATGGCAGAGGAGAAAGTAGTTCTGTATCATATAGACGAATCAAAGACTTTGTGTGAACAATTTGAGGGAGTCGAAGGTCGCTATAAAAATGTATACATCAATATTGATGAATAAACGCGTCTAATATGATGAAAATAGTTTGTGTTCTTGATATGGAGGAATCAGGCGCACGTCAGTTTTTGGGCATATAGTTATTTGTATCATCCTAATAATAGCTTCTTCATTTGTCTTGCTTTTGACAAAAAAGTATCAATCTATAGGAATTCAGATATTTGGGATTGAAGTTGGTGGGGTCACCTGGTTTCAGACGCAAAATTAGCGAGAAAATGGCCTCCAAAGTATGGCGACTGCCATTGCTAGAGAGTCCTCGGAAGCTTTAAATTTACACTTTTGTGTCTTAAATCAAAGTTTTCCAGGAAAATTCACACACAAATATATTTTTAACGGGCCCATTTATTTAAATTCGAGAAAAATTCCGAAACCTGTGGAAAAATGTGGGTTCCTCTGATTTTATTATAAATTTTAACGAGCACCTGATTTCACCACGATGCCTCACATTTGATCTTTGCCACCCTTCGATTTTCCGCAGTATGATTTTACTTTATGACACGCACTTTGGCCCGCATATTATGTTTTCCCAACTGAACCTTCTTTGTTACAAATGTTTACTTGCCCTGCCCAGTTTTTCGGGCCCCCTTTTTTTTTGTTGCTTTTTTTCTTTTTGTTACTTTCCCCCATTTTTGGACACTTAGCATTCCCTGTCTCGATTCCTGAATGCTGATCAGTTTGTGCCCTGTTTGGGGCTGGCAGCGGTCAATGCGGACAGATACTGCCTCCTTCCTCGTTAGCTGTTAACAACAGCTGACTATGATTTTCAGATCAAAGGGAATGAATGTAGACAACACGTTTATCTTCAAATTACAGTCGAGTTGGTTCTAGAGTTGTAATTCAAATGTCGTCAAGATATTGCTAGAAAAATGTAATAGAACACCTAGTTATATGGCCATAAACTATTTTTACCGATGGTACGAATTTGATGATACAGCTGGCATCAGATTTTTTGTCTTAGTGTCAATGTAAAAAAACGTGCAATATTGAAATTGAACTGCATAAAGCAAATATTGTGAAAAATGCCGAATAGAGTAACCTAGTGTAAATTCTTGGAGGAAGTCAGATTATGTATTTGCGTCCATAACAAGAAATTATTTGTTTACGAAGTCGTCTTGAATATATTGGTGAGCCAAGAACATGCACATCGTTTTCAGCCGGATTTCATAATAATAATAATAAATGACATTTATATAGCGCTCAACCCCGAATAAAGTATACAGGCTCTGAGCGCTTTACAATACAGTACAACATACAACACTAACATGAAACGTTGTGTTCTGACTAAAGAAAATTATTCCAAATATTCATCTTATTAATTTAAAAACAGAAACGACTTCAGCTGACATTTCAATGAATCAAAAGATTTGATTTCTCTCAACGTACTTGGTAAAGCATTCCAGATCTTAGGGCCTTGGTATTCAAATGCCCTTTCACCCATTGTTTTAAGTTTCATAGATGGTAAAATAAATTTCTTTGTGTCAGCTGATGATCTTTAACTGCGAGTTGGAATGTACAGTCTTAACATATTTGATAAATATGATGGTGCATTATCATTCAAACATTTGTGACATATGGTGGCCAACTTGTACACAATCCTTTTCTCAACAGGAAGCCAATGCAAAGTTCGTAAAAGAGGTTTAGCAGAATCTCGCTTTTTTCCCCGTAAAACTAAACGTGCTGCATTGTTTTGGACAGTTTGAAGTCTTTTAACTTTCTCCAGTGATATTCCTGATAACAAGGAGTTATATTAATCGAGTTTTGATAAAATTAAGCTAGTTACTAGTAAAGCAGTATACTTGGTATTGATCAGATGACGTATTTTACTAATTTTTCTTATTTCTAAATACATGCAGCTGATCAGATGATTTACCTCAGCCGACATTGACAAACTAGAATCAAAATAGATGCCAAGATTCTTAACTTTTCTTGAAAATAAAATTGTTGCATTACCAATTTTAATGTGATCATGGTCAACCTCTTTAACAGACTTTGCATTGCCTGCCAGAATGACTTCTGTTTTATTATCATTTAACATCAATTTATTTTTGTTCATCCAGTTTTTCACTAAGGCAATACAATTTTCAGCACGATGGACAAGTTCATCTAAGTTGGTAAACAATGTTGAACCATAAATTTGGGTATCATCAGCATAGAAATGGTATTTTAAGTCATATTTAACTATTTCCTTGACAAGTGGTTGAGTATAAATGGTGAACAAAACTGGACCGAGGACTGAGCCCTGGGGGACCCCATACTTAAGAGCATGATCTGATGACTTAAGCCCTTTAATAAAAACAGATTGGTAACGATTTGGCAGGTAAGAAGAAAACCAGCTAAGGGCAGTCCCGGATAATCCAAAAGACACTTCCAATTGCTTCAATAAAATGTGATGGTCAATTGTATCAAAAGCTGCTGATAGATCTAAAAGGCTCAGCAAAACAACTTTTCCTGAATCACAATCAGTAAGCATGTCGTTCATGACTTTAAGAAGTGCTGTTTCTGTGCTGTGGTTAGCTCGATTGGCAGACTGGAATGGCTCTAACAGATTGTTTTCTTGTAAGTGATGACGAAGCTGCTCGAGGACAACCTTTTCAAGGATTTTAGACAAAAAAGGTAGATTTGAAACAGGTCTATAGTTCTTTAAGACAATCTGATCTAAGTTTTGCTTCTCATCATACAACTCAAGCTCTTACCAAAGATTTATACACTGACTGCACTTCCAGAAGAACTGTATCTTCAGTATTCTACGTTCCGAGCACATCGTCAGGATGGTGGAGATATCTGAAAAGTGTTTTATAGAATATGAATTATATCACAACAAACTTGGCCCTTTAGCCATCTGTATAAACCATAAACAAGAACATAACCAGAAAGTGGCCCTCAGCACGACTCGTAGCTACTTGACCACGGGCTTCGACCCCGGTAATGTTGACCGATCAATCTGGACTGGTTTGCTGACTACGGGAAAGGGGCAAAGAGCATAAATGTTTTCTTTTTCTGCTGAGGACATTGTTGTATGTGAAATTTGCACCCGTTGAGGTTTGGCAAAAAGTGTCTACAAAATTGGAAGCTCGCAGACATATCAACATTTATTCTGTAGCTCTGGAGAAGTGACTATCCGTTTGTCATATTTCTATTCATATCCGGTCGAACACATTTTAACAAATACTTACTTTGACGTTTTGTCTCAGACTGCAGAGAGCAATAAAGAATTGCCCTTATCTAATTCCCTTTTATTCCCTTTTCAGTCGAAACATACCTAACGGGCCCTTTTGATCGAGCAAAAGGTCAAGATCCGGGCTCTGAAAAATTCAGCTTGTCAGCGCATCGATATAACAGCTGCAATAACGAGGCGTAGTGAAACCAGAAGCGAAATGAATTATTGAAAGTCTAAATCAATAGGGTAAGTACCATGGATGCTGGACAGAACATTTCGAAAATAGAATTTCGATTTTTAAGATAAGGATATGTTTCTGGAAAACATAATGATTGTCTTTATATCTCTTTATTTCTGAAAGAAAACCTGAAAGTTTGTAAAGAACTGGAAATATTTTAAAACTAAAATGCATTTAATCATAATATCCTGCTTGCCCACTCAAAACCACGTTTGCTGCTAAGGCATTTTATGTTTTCATTTTGATAATAAAAACAAAAAATGGAAAAGTTGACTTAAGTGAGATAGATTCCCAGTAGAATAATATCGCAATCATTATTAGCTTCTACTTTCCCAAAGAGTGACACGACTTAAACACATTTTTAAAAAAGAAAAAAGAAAAGAAACAGAAAAAAAGAGACAAAAACTGTGTCAGAGTCAAAGTAGGAGATTATAATTATAGTTAGTCAAAATTAAATGTTACTGGCGTCGTCCGTGATGCCTCCTAATTTACTTGGGCTTAATCCTCCAGCTCCTTCGTTTTTTCATGGCCCTGGGCGTCATGTCTCCTTTTTTGTTGCACTGCAAGAGATTCCTTTCTACGACGTGAGAGCAGGTAGTAAAGGCTATATGTTATCACTGGCACGAATCGGGTTTCATTTCGATGAATGGGACCGCATGAAACTGTCTCGGGGCGCCTCTGAAATGGAGCAATAGACCAGCCGTTAATGACTGTAGGAGGAACAGGGGCACTGGGGCAACGGCCGCCTTTCAGGGCCGTTGAACTATTGCAATATCGACTAACGGACCCGTCCTCGACAAGTTAACTGGCTCATTGATTAAAACTGTAGGCTTTGGGAAAACGATGTTAGAGAAAAACAGCCTCGTTCTTCGCACTTTAAGATGGAGTATATCAAAGATTGTGCCTTAAGAAAAGCAACATTGATCGTTAGTATATAAATTGGTTCTGGTCTAAGGTTTGGGTAATCTTGGTTCGAATACCCTTAGAGGTTTCCTCAGGAAAGTTTACTTTTTTCTTCAACTCTTTGTCCCGTCCCCTCTGACTCTTTCCATGAAACACACACACACACACACACACACACACACACACACACACACACACACACACAAACACACACACACACACACACACACAAACTTACATACATTTATTAAACAAAAATACAGACACACATACATACACATACACACACAAAACATAGATCTACATATTTTACCCTCACCCCCCCCCACTCTCACACACACACACACAGAGATAGACCAAATCCACCAAACTTTTTTATACTCAAGGACACCGAGACATACACGGTATAATTGAGAATTATCCCTCCCCTCTCATGTGTTCCTCCTACGCCTTCTCTACTCCCTCTCAGTTTCAATAAGTTGTTTTGTCATTACGTGTCACAGTCCTACGTTCAACAAAACATTTCGTCAATAAGGGTTGTGAGGTCTGTTCTACAAGCTGTTGTTGTTGTTGTTTTCCTGTGGTCGTAGTAAGCGAAACACAGAAATATAATCCGCCCCCTGTTGTTCTGTATAGACCAGAACAGAATTGTCCTAATGTGGAATAAACAATGAGAATAATACCCCAGGTGAAAATTCCCCACCCACACATCTATGGGAGGTGGGTAGTAGAGAGGTGGAGGGGGATTCAGATGTTGACGAGAACTCTTGGGAAAAGCCAAAAACAATAAATGAGAAAAGGAAGCTGAAAGCGATAACTTTCCTCTATTATCCCTTCGATTTTCCTCCTCTCCTGATAATGCCGCGAGCAAAATACCCTTTCTGTTAAAGGTCAGATTACACCGTTCCAATAATTCTGTCATAATTAATTCAGAGGAAAGCGTCTGGCAGAAAAGGAGAACCGTCGTATTTAATTAATTATATGCGCCCATTGTCACTGAATGAGACGGGTTTATCAAAGGCACATATAATAACCATGACGTCACTCTGATGTCACTGTCCATGAACGCCAGGGTGGACCCAGTCTACCCCCCTTTATCCCATTTCCTACCCCCCTCCCCCAATAAATTCCCCAAATCACAACTCTGTTGAAAAAAAAGACAAACAAAAACAACCGGGGAAACCATATCGTGAAGCTAACACGCGTTTCCTACGTTGTGAGGCATCGTGGTTAAATCAGACGGTTGTCAATAAATAAAGAAATCAAAGAAAAGGGCATTTTTTAAAATATTTTTTTGGGCCATTGGGCAATTTTTCTTTTTTTTTGGCTCAACACCTTTTACGTTCATTTAAATTTAAAAAACATTTGTCTGTGGGTTTTACTGAAAAGAAACCCATTGATTAAAGACACAAAAAATGTAAATTTTCAGTTTCCAACGACTCTCAGGCTATGGAAGTTACCAATCTGGCGGACATATTCTCACTAATTTTACCTCTAAAACCAGGGGACCCCGATCTCCTTCAATCACAAGTATTTCGACTTCTATTCTACGTAGATGAATATTTTTTTAATCGAAAGGTAGGCAAATGAACAGGCTTAAGATGA